TCAAGCTAATAGCAAACAAAAGAAAGCAGGTGTCGCAAGACTTATGTCAGACAAAACAGATTGCAAAATAAGGCAGGTAAAGAGAGACATAGAGGGCCAATATATAATGATCAAAGGGACACTTCATCAAGAAGAAATAAGGCTTATAAATATCTATGTACCCAGCACAGGAGCACCAAAGTTCATAAAGCAACTATTAACAAACCTAAAAGAAGATATCAAAAATAACACAATAATAGTAGGGGACCTCAACACACCACTCACATCAATGGAGAGATCATCCAGACAGGAAATCAACAAGGAAACAGTGGAGCTAAACGAAAAGCTAAAACAATTGGACTTAGTAGACATATATAGAACACTTCATCCAAAAACAGCAGAATACACATTCTTCTCAAGTGTGCATGGAACATTCTCAAGGACAGACCATATGTTGGGAAATAAGGCAAAGCCTCTACAAACTTCAAAAATTGAAATAATAACAAGCATCTTCTCCGATCATAATGCTGTAAAGCTAGAAATTAATCAAAGAAAAAAGCTGAGAAAGGCACAAGGATGTGGAGACTAAACAATATGCTATTGAACAAGCAATGGATCATTGAAGAAATTAAAGAAGAAATCAAAAAATACCTGGAGACAAATGAAAATGATAACATGCCATACCAACTCATGTGAGATACAGCAAAAGCTATATTAAGAGGAAAATTCATCGCAATACAGACACATCTTAACAAACAAGAAAAATCCCAAATAAGCAATCTTAAACTACACCTAACCGAATTAGAGAAAGAAGAACAAACAAAGCCCAAAGTCAGCAGAAGGAGAGAAATAATAAAAATCAGAGCAGAAATAAATGGTATTGAAACAAAAAAGGCAGTAGAAAGGATCAATGAAACAAAGAGCTGGTTCTTTGAGAAGATAAATAAAATTGACAAACCCCTAGCCAGACTTACAAAGAAAAAAAGGGAGAAAGCTCAAATAAACAAAATCAGAAATGAAACAGGAGAAATAACAACAGACTCCACAGAAATACAACAGATTATAAGAGAATACTACGAAAAACTATGCCAACAAAATGGATAAATTCTTGGATTCCTACAATCTCCCAAAGCTTAGTCAAGAAGAAGCAGACAATTTGAACAGACCAATCACAAGGAAAGAGATTGAAACGGCAATCAAAAGCATCCCAAAGAATAAAACCCCAGGACCAGATGGTTTTCCTAGGGAATTCTACCAAACTTTCAGAGAGGATTTAATACCTATCCTTTTCAAGCTATTCCAAAAAATTAGGGAGGATGGAACACTTCCAAACACCTTCCACGAGGCCAGCATCACGCTGATACCAAAGCCTGACAAGGACAGCACCAAAAAAGAGAACTACAGGCCAATATCACTGATGAACATAGATGCAAAAATTCTCAACAAAATTTTGACAACCCGAATTCAGCAATTCATCAAAAGAATCATACATCATGATCAAGTGGGATTCATACCAGGGACACAGGGATGGTTCAACATCCACAAATCAATCAACGTGATACACCACATCAACAAACTGAGGAATAAAAACCACATGATCATCTCAATAGATGCAGAGAAGGCATTTGACATATGGAGCAACAAAAGACCCCGAATTGCTAAAGCAATCCTGAGAAAGAACAAAACTGGAGGCATCACAATCCCTGACTTCAAAACATACTACAAAGCTACAGTAATCAAAACAGCATGGTACTGGTACAAAAACAGGTGCACAGATCAATGGAACAGAATTGAAAGCCCAGAAGTAAAACCACACATCTATGGACAGCTTATCTTTGACAAAGGAGCTGAGGGCATACAATGGAAAAAAGAAAGTCTTTTCAACAAATGGTGCTGGGGAAACTGGAAAGCCACATGTAAAAGAATGAAAATTGACCATTCTTTCTCACCATTCACCAAAATAAACTCAAAGTGGATCAAAGACCTAAAGGCGAGACCTGAAACCATAAGCCTTCTAAAAGGAAATGTAGGCAGTACACTCTTTGACATCAGTATTAAAAGGATCTTTTCGGACACCATGTCTTCTCAGACAAGGGAAACAATAGAAAGAATAAACAAATGGGACTTCATCAGACTAAAGAGCTTCTTCAAGGCAAGGGAAAACAGGATTGAAACAAAAAAACAACCCACTAACTGGGAAAAAATATTTTCAAGTCATACATCTGACAAAGGCTTAATATCCATAATATATAAAGAACTCACACAACTCAACAACAAAAAATCAAACAACCCAATCAAAAAATGGGCAGGACACATGAACAGACATTTCTCCAAAGAAGATATATGGATGGCCAATAGGCACATGAAAAGATGTTCATCATCACTGATCATCAGGGAAATGCAAATCAAAACTACACTAAGATATCACCTTAAACTCATTAGAATGACAAAAATAACTAAAACTAATAGTAACAAATGTTGGAGAGCTTGTGGAGAAAAAGGAACCCTCATACACTGCTGGTGGGAATGCAAACTGGTTCAGCCACAATGGAAAACAGTATGGAGATTCCTCAAAAAATTAAAAATAGAACTACCATACGATCCAGCTATCCCACTACTGGGTATCTATCCAAAGAACTTGAAGTCAGCAATTCCAAAAGTCCCATGCACCCCAATGTTCATTGCAGCATTATTTGCAATAGCCAAGACGTGCAAGCAACCTAAGTGCCCATCAACAGATGATTGGATAAAGAAGATGTGGTGTGTGTGTGTGTGTATATATATATATATATATATATATATATATATATATATATACACAATGGAATACTACTCAGCCATAAAAAAGAACAAAATCGTCCCATTTGCAACAACATGAATGGACCTTGAGGGAATTATGTTAAGTGAAATAAGCCAGCTAGAGAAGGACAATCTCTGTATGACTCCACTCACATGAGGAATTTAAACATGTAGACAAAGAGAACAGATTAGTGGCCACCAGGGGAAAGGTGGGGTGGGGGGTGGGCACAAAGGGTGAAGTGGTGCACCTACAACACGACTGACAAACAATAATGTACGACTGAAATTTCACAAGATTGTAACCTATCAACAACTCAATAAAAATTTTTTAAAAAAAAGAGACACGGTAAACAGGAGATGCATGAAGCTGCTGCTGGCATAATATGACGTAGTTTTACAGTAAACTTTTTTTGATAAGTAGAAAGAGTACACTCTAAAATAATGATAAAAAATATAGCGTAGGACCGACATAAACCAGTAACGTAGTCATTTATTATCAAGTATTATGTACTGTACCTAATCGTGTGTGCTATACTTTTCTATGACTGGCAGCACAGTAGGTTTGTTTACACCAGCATCACCACAAACATGTGAGCAATGTTTCGTATTACCGCCTTACCACGGCTACGCTGTCACTAGGTGATAGAAGTTTTTCAGCTCCATTATAATCTCATGCGATCACCGTTGCATATGCGGTCCCGCATTGACTGAAACATTGTATAGCTCATGACTGTATCTTGTAGAATTTCTCTCAGATTCTGGATATGGCTGATTGATTGAAGCCTCCTGGTGTCATTTAACATGTTCCTTATCCACTGCATTTTTGTAAACCAGTAGATGGACCTAGAGATTCCATATGCTTTCTTGAGTTGGGAAATAAAAGTGCTCTATGATGCAGTATGTTTGGGAAATGCTGTATCTTTTTGTAAACCAATGCATAGAGATTCACAAATAAAGACCTGAAAAGTCAAAAAAAAAAAAAAAAGAGGAGGATTGGCGGCAGATGTTAGCTGAGGGCTAATCTTCCTCAAAAAAAAAACCCAAAAAAACCTGAGATATCATTTGCCTTTTTCACTCTCTTTCTTTTCATAAGTGAATTTTTCCAGAGGCTCCATGATATGATATCATGAGGGACTGGGGGCAGATACAGATATCAAAATCCACCTGTCATCTATTAAGCCCAACGTTAAAGATACCTTCAAAAATGTAAAACAATACCACTCTTATCTCTAACTTTGTTTTTTTCTTCTGGAAAATATAATTACTTTTTTTTTTTTACGGAAGCAAATTTCTCTTTTTTCTTTTTTTTTTTAAGATTGACACCTGAGCTAATATCTGTTGCCAATCTTCTTTTTTTCTTCTTCTTCTTCCTCAAAGCCCCCAAGTACATAGTTGTATATTCTAGTTGTGGGTCCTTCTGGTTGTGCTATGTAGGATGCCACCTCAGCATGGCCTGACGAGCAGTGCCATGTCCGTGCCCAGGATCTGAACCGGTGAGACCCTAAGCCGCCAAAGCAGAGCACATGAACGTAACCCACTTGGCCATGGGGCCGGCCCCTATAATTACTTTTAATTTTTAAAATGTCATTTATGTTAACACGTAATGGAGTTGAACTAATAAATACATATTTTTTTAATTCCTCAGTCTTAATGCCTAATATGGAAAATATTGATGAATATAACTTACATTTAATAAATTCATTGGGGTCCTCAATAATATCTAAAAGTGTAGAAGAATTCTAAGACCAAACCCTGCACTGCCTCACAGTAATTAGCATTTTTGAACATTTCCTTGTGCCAGGAGCTGTACTTGCTTCATCTTTTTTAATCTTTGCAACAAAGCTATAAAGTAGAGGCTGTAACAAAGCCCTTGCTAGCCTGAGGCCTCACAGCTGAAAGGAGAAGAGATAACGAGGTCCTTCTGCCTCCCAAGCCACACTCTTGCTTCCTGGACTGCACTCCCTCACAAACTAATTCTCTGTAGCTTTGAAAAAGTTATTTTACTCTGGTGAGTCTGTTTCCTTCTCAAAAATGGGCAGAATCTGACCCACCCTGCAGGATTCTTTTAAGAGCAGAAGAGTTAAAATGCATCAAAGTGCCCAGCCGGGGGGCTCGCGCCAAACTGACCCTGAGAAGCTGTTAGCCTCCTTCCTTGCATTCCTTCCTGTCCCTGGCTCAGTGTCACACCAGGCAGGCTCAGCCACTTCCCTTCTCTCCTCTAGACGGTCTGCAAGCAGACAGAGAGGCTGATGGAACAGAAGGAGTTGATGAAGACATGATTGTGACCCAAAGTCAGACCAACTTCATCTGCCCCATTACACAGGTACTGTTTCCTCCTTCCTCCCCTGAAAGAAAAAGCACTTCACTTGCAGAGGCAAAAGATTCCTGGTGGCTTTCTGACTTGACTTCCGTCCAGAGTTAAGGCGGGAGGAAAGAAAAGTGGTGAGAATTGAAGAGAATATGTGGAAGGTTCTTGGGCTGGACAGGGTTTTCAGTCAATCATGCCCTTAAGGATTTAGGACTAAATTCCTGGCCCACAGGCCAAGTGACATGGGTGCCACTGGTCTCCCTGCGTTTTCTTCTGTGGTCGTCTGCCCTAATCTAAAGCCAGGGGATTGGGAGGTTAAATGTAGAAAGCTCCAGGACTAGGAAAAAATAGGAGTTACTGGAAGTTGATTATTATCATTCCTGAAAGCCTAATATCTCCCTGATTGCAGATGGAAATGAAGAAGCCAGTGAAAAGTAAAGTGTGTGGCCACACCTATGAAGAGGAAGCCATTGTTCGCATGATTGAGTCCAAGCACAGGCGGAAGAAAAAGGCCTGGTGAGTGGATGCAGGAGGGGAAGTGGAGCCTTCCTAATGGTAGTCAGTTAGAGGTGATGCGTTCCTGCTGGAGGGGCAGACGCTTAAATGTCTCCCCACAGCACATTCACCTCCTGAATAGTGTAAACATAGAAGCTGGCTTTCTGGAAAAACAATACACGAGGGGAAAATTAGTAATCTTTTCAGGAAGAAGCCGAGGGAACTTCAACCACACCTTCCAAACAGGAGAAAAAGGAGTTGGACTGAATTTTAATCTTTAGATAGCAGAGATTTTTATGAATTTTTGCTATAGCCTGAAAAAAATGAAGGAGAACTATGATGCGAAGAGATTGCTTTTTCCCTTTCTATATATACACTTACCCAAACAAGAAAGAATGGTACATTTTTTTTGCTTGCTGCAAGGCAGATGATTTGTTTAAAAAATAGCATTAAGTCAACATTCTAAGATAAGAATTCACATCCAGTGGTCTTGATGATCAAGATTTAATTGTTAGGGAAATCTTTCGTATCTTTAATTACTTAAATAACTTCTCAAAAGGTTTAAGTAAATTTGTGAATAATTGATCAATGAGAAATTATGATTTTTTTACATTGGAATGTTTGGGGAGTCTTTCGTATATATAGATATGTATTCCCTGCCCCCCACTCACCCGCCATGACCATGGAGGACCATGGCTTTGTTCCTGTAATAAGTAATAACAGAATCCTGAGTTGGCTAGACTGATTTTGACTCAGTTTGGCATTTCTTGTGCTCTTATCACAGATTTGTTGGAGGAATGGAATTGCAGGTGTGACCAGTTCTCAATGGACTTCTGATAACAGTGCCTTTGATGTGTGGTTTGCTTCTCCATCGCCCAGAAATTTGCTGGTCAAGACGTAGAACTGGAATTCCCCACGCCTCATCTGGGTGTGGACTTAGAGATAGGGTATTCAAGACTGTAGATATCTTGATGGTCCTTCAGTCAAGTAATTTACCCTGTTTATTCTAGAAGAATGGCCTAAAGGTTGCAAAATCGAGATCGAGTACATTTTTATCTGTTTTGAATTCCCAGTTTGCAGCTGAGATGTCATATTTCCTTAGTGAACCTTCTGTTTTCCCCTGTAAATATAATTTTCTCTGTTTCTAGACCTCTAAGCCTTCCCTCTCTACTAACCTTTTTCTATGTTCATTCTCTGAGGAACAAAATTTTAATTTGTTGACATACTTGCTATGAAGAGGTATTCCCAGATAGCTTTCTATTTCACAGCTCTTGTGTCTTCAAGTTTGTGATATTCTCCTAGAGTCAGATTTGAAAAGGGCAGGCACTGATACAAAGCACGTTTCTGACAAGTCCCAGGATGGGTGTGAGCAACTTCCAGAACAGGCTCATGTTTAAATGGATCTTCTTAATTACACACTTTGACTTTCTAATGTCCTTTGCTTTTTTTGAATTATAGGTGATAGTTGGAAGCACTTGCATAACATTTGTCATTTAGAAAAGTTTTTTTTTCTGTCATACTTCTATCACTTGGGTGCAAATTCTGCAAACTGTAGGTTCTCCTAACTTAATAATAACAATTCAGTGCAAGTAGAAGAAGTCTAGGAGGTGTGCAGAGAAGGTAGTGTTTTTACTGAGCCTTGATAAATAAGAAGGATTTCAGAGAATGGTGCAGAAGAGTCTTTCTAGCCAAGAAGCTCACCCCATTCAGAGCCTGTTCAACTTGGTGGATAATAGATGCAATTTGGTTATTGTATGTTAGAGGGAGAATAGAAGGATGCTGTGGACAATCTCAATAGGAGAGTGGTGTAGAGATTCGTTATAGAGGGTGTTAAATGTCATGATTTCGTTAGTTTCCTCATCTTGAAATTGAGGCTAGTAGGTGTAATTGCCTCCATGGTATGTTTGAAACTTGAATAAGATATATATATCAAGTACTTAAGTACCTGGCTCGTGGTAAGATTCAGTACATTATTCCATCATCATCATCATTCTTGCCACTATTAGTCTATAGGCCTGAGAGAACATTGCAGAGTTTTGAGGGAATGGGGTGAGCCAACCTGGAGTTCAGGAAGTTACTCCAATAGCAATTCAAGAGATGGATTAATCAAGCACGTGGTGAAAATCATGATTAGGATGCTTTTGCAGTAGATTAAGTTGTAGATAATTAGAGCTTGGATTGAGGCAAGAGTTATAGGCAGAAAGAATGAGAATGAGAGGAGCAATTGACAGGATTTGGTAATGAAAGTTGAAGGCAGGAAGATGTGAAGGATGGCTGACATTTCTAAACTGGGCGTCTAGAAGGACGGCAGTGTCATTAGCCAACAGAGAGGGCATACAAGAGGAACACATTTAGGAAGGATTATGAGAGGGGTAGTTTGGGTCATGCTAAGTTTGAGGACCCAACAATACAGCCATTTGGAAGTATCTAGGAGGTGTAGAAAATGTGGGCACAGGTACATCTGCCAGCACAGGTACAGCTCTGGACGGGATGCGACGGCCAACTGAGAGCTAGCAAGACAGGACCTTGGCTCCCAGCTCCACGAGGCCAGGGTCCAGCTCTGCTCTGCTCGCTGTGCCAGCCTCGGCACCTGACACAGGGCCTGATGCAGACCCTCAAAAAGGCATTTTGTTCATTAATGAGAGGGCAGTCAGAGGAAGAAGACCCCAGTGAAGCAGTCTGTGACATAGCAGGAGAGAGACAAGAGCTCAGAGAGTTGAGTATGATGGGAGCCAGAGGGGGGAGTAGGCAGGGTCTTGAAAACAAGGTACCTTGGGCAGCAGATTAGAATTCAGGGCCTCTTCAAAAGCTACTCTAGAGAATCCTGATGAAGCATGAAGTGGTGTCATTTCCCATGATGCATGTTAGGGCAATGGGCAGTTCTGGGTTCCCTTTGTTTAAAAATGTCTGTGACACATCCACTTTGAGGAATCTCAGTTCTTCCTCCTAGTTGGTCCTAATTATGTTTGTCAGACTGGAGTTCCAGTTACACTGTGTTACTGGGCACTGACTAAATTTTTCTGTCCACGCTTCTGTCTCTGGGAAGACCTCTCTCCACTGGCTTGAGTCAGAATAAAATTGATGAGACATTAGCCCTAACTAAATACAGTAGTTAGAATAATTTCCTGAAATAGATCTCTTAATAATCAGGCTATTTATTATCTCTTACTAATGAAGCTGCCTTATGATCTTCATATCAATAAGGTATTTCTAGTTTTCCACAGTCATTTCTTTCCTTTTTTGTTTAAGAACAGGAACTGCATTTAACAAACACATTTAAGACCATGCAGGGTAAAATTAAGTTGAATAGAAATGTGTCCTTGAACACAGAGCTCCAGCACTGCGCTTGGAGCCCCTCTTTGACCGTTTACCAACAAGCCAATTAACCTCTCAGAGCCTCAGTTTCCTCTTCTGTAAAATGGAAATAGCAATGATATCTCACAGAATTTCGGGATCAAAGAAATGGTGGAGAATTCCAACCTAGGTCTGGACCAGCAAACTTCTTGGCACTGGGGAAGCAAACCACTTAGGAGAAAGCTCTTTTGGGACTACAGAGAGCACTAAACAAATAGCATGGAGTTATGAAGGTCGAGGCTGCTAGTGTTGTTAATACTTACCCCACTGCTTAGTGACACATTATTTTAGACTCTGTGTTTAGGTATGATGGGAATCCATCCCACTCATTTCCAGAGGTATCTATAGACCTTTCTAGAGCTTTCTAAAGCTGGTTGGACCTTGGAGTTCTTGGGACCCAGATCCAGGAGCCCATAATACTCAGAATCTTGTACTTTTGAGCTGATGCTAAGACCAAGGTTCCCCACAGCCTTCTGGGACCCCAAAGACCCAAGTTCCCTTTGTTCAATAGATACTTTCATGCTTGCTTGCTGCTGTAGTGGAATGTTCTGCCCTGTCAGTGACCCGAGTTCAGGACCCAGCCTCTCCTTCGAGGCCTGTAGGTCTGACTCCTGCACAGCCATGACGCGCGAGAGCTTAAGACTGGGTGTTGCCACACCTATCTTGCTCAGCAAGATGTCGTGCAGATTAATGCACTAATGCTTATACAGAGTGTTGTTTCTTCAGAGGAGGAGTGCCCTGATTCAGCCTCATGTCATTGTGGCCCTGTCTTATCCTTTTTAGCCTAAAATCTTGTGTTTGTTTATTTGAGAAGGGTTGAGAAACAAGGTTCTCCCCCAGCTCCTGCATCAGCCTCTCCTTCAGGAAGCCTTCCCTGATTCCTCATTCATGCTGGGCAGATGCCCCTTCCCGTGCTCCCACAGCACCCTGGGCATCGTGGCATGCCCGCGTCCCACCAGCATTGTCCGCGGGGCTGGCTCTTCTGCACAAGCTTCTTGGGAGCAGAAGCCTTGCAGCAGAGCAGGAATTGCTCCTTGTAGCCCCTGAGTGAATTCCTTGACCCTTGTCACTCATCATCCTGTGTACTTCTCACAACCATCCTATGCTCTGCCTTCATCTTTATAGAGGAGGAAACTGAGACACAGCAATTAAGGCACTTGCTCAGAGTGTCGTGGCTGGGAGGCTTGAGCCCGGTTCTTCTCCCCTCTTAGGCCGGGCTTTGTGTCATTCATGCCGTCTGGCTCCGTTTGGGAGGGTTTTTTGGTTAATGTCCAGAGCTGATCCCCTCAGTGAGCTCAGACCTCTTTGTCTGACACAGGTCACCCAGGGCTCTGTCCCATTGAGACGAATGTGCACGCCTGCTCCACAGCTGAGTGCTGTGGTCAGTCCCATCGGACATTCTCAGAATGTTCTCATTTACTGACTAAAAGCCCTGATGTCATCAGGAAGTCCTCCCCACCTCGCTCTCCACTTCCCCATCCACAGCTTGTTCACTGTCTGGCTGTCAGTGTTAAAGACTTTACAAAGTAGGGCGAGACCAAGGCCTGGCAGTCAGAGTGGACGTCCAGTGGGCTGAAAATAACGAGCGAGGGTCTTAGCACGTCATCCCAGCAACCTACTTCGAGTTGCATTTCCACGTCACCAAAGTGGAAGCGATGAAAAATGCCTTTTCTGAGTCACTAAAGTCTCCATATCTGTTTCATAATCTCAGGTGTTTACTTTGATGGCTAAAGAAATACTTCTCCTTGAGACATGAGGGTGTTTGAAACTAGTGTAAGACATTTCTCGAGCACCCCGTCCTCACCCTAACACAAAAACAAATCATCAGGATGACGCACTCTGGGGTCAGTCTGTCCCAATCCTCTCTCATATGGTTGCCTTTCTGTAATCACATTTTAACACATGTTCTTGACCGTGTAGGGCACATTTCAGTATTTTAAAAATAAACATTGGTAGCAAGCATATCATTCATTATGTTAATTAATGCCTTTCTAACATAAAGACTCCTTGGTCCAGAAATCAAGGCCAAAGGAAAGTTTCTCTTCCATGTTGAACTCTTGGGCTTCCTACTCCTGGACAAATCAGAGCTCCCAGGATCAACTTTCTTCCCCGTGGGGTGTATATCTTTTGTCTTGCATTTGTTATTTTTGATCATGTGTGTTATTTTTGATCTTGTCTGGTATTTGTCATTTTCCATCTTAATATACCCGTGCTCTGTGGAGAGTTGTCTCAGATCACCGGGCCGGAGCTCTGCGTGGGCAGGAGCCTGTGTTTGTGTTTTACAGTTGGATGCTTAGACCTAGCACAGGACCAATCACATCGAAGGGTCGAGTGAATTTATCAGTGTGTGCGTGGATGTGTTGGAGGGCCGCAAGATATAGATAGATCAGAACTTTAAGATGTCTTAGAAGAATGGTGCTGAGGGAACAAATGATTGTCGTAGGAGGTAACGGAGGGGACAAATACTGTTGGGCACTGTTGCCTGTAGCCCTGTGAAATAGGGATTCCCCCCTCATTCTCAACTTGGGGAACAGAGGCTCAGAAAGGTAACGTTTGCTGCCTGTGGGCTCGTTAGCAGCAAGTAGGTGGTCGAGATAGACCTGGGTCAGCTTGAGCCCCACAGTGGGCGCTCTGCTCTACCAGAGTCTAGTTCCCGCTGAGAAGAAATCGGGTAACTTCATCCAACCCACTGCCTACGGCGGAGACCACATCTAACCAGAGCCGCGCCTTGAAGTCCCCCCCCCGTGTGGATGACTCACACGCTGATGTCTTCAGCCACAGCTTTTCCCCTGAGTCCCCAACGGCCCACTCAGTCCCTCCAAGGGGAGGACTGGTGGACATTTCAGAGGGAGCATATACAACTGGGACTCCCGATTCCATTCCCAATCTGCTTTCCCAGTGGTTCCCCTGAGAGATGGAGGCTACCACCAGTTCCCCATCGGCTGGGGCCAAACCTGAATGAAGCTCAGTTCTTCTCGCTCTTTACTCTCCACACCTGATCCGTCACCAAGTCCAAGAGGTTCTCCTTTCAGTTCTGTCCTGAAGCTGGTCACCGCCCCCCCCCCATCCGAGCTGCCCCCTCTCTCCAGGTCCTGTGGGATCCCCAGTTTTCCCTGCTTCCACTCTGCCCGTGTTCTCCATTAGCAGCCAGAATCGTGTTTCCAAATGTACGCCAAACCACGTCCCTCCCGCATCTCAAACCCTCCAGTGTTTTCTCTTCATATTCAGAATAAAATCCAGAGCCCCACTCACCCTCTGACCTCGTCTCCAGATGCTCTCCCTCCTGCCCTGGGCGTTTCAGCCACACCTGCGCTTCCTCCAGGCCACCAAGCCGCTGCCTCCTGGGCTTCCACATGCACTGCTGCCTCAGCCTGGCCACACACAGCCCTTGTTCTAGATAAGACTTCCTGGGCGAGGGTCGCCCTGACCCCAGTTAGAACAGCCTCGCCCCACAGCCCCTCTCCTTTGACCCTGCTTCCTTGCCTTCGAAGCATTTCACGCGACCTGAGCTTGCAGCGTGCATCTATTTGTCGACTTAGCCATCATCTCTGTCCCCCGTTGGAGAGGGAGTGCCTCTGGCATGGCCTGTGCCCCCAGCACTGGGCAGGGCCTGGCCCCTGTCGGTGCTCAGGGAATAAATGAATGAGTGCACGGCAGTCCTGATTTATAAAACCTGTTCTTCATTCAAATCCTTGTACGGGAGAGAAGTTTGTGCTGAAGGCGTTCAGGTTAAGTGGCCTAACGTGGTTTTTTTCCCTCCCTCGCAGTTGCCCTAAAATCGGCTGTAGCCACACGGTGAAGATGTCGGATCTCATCCTGGATGAAGCCCTGAGAAGGGCAATCGAGAACCACAACAAGAAAAAGCAGCGGCACTCAGAGTAGGAAAGCCTGCCCGCCTGCAGGGCGCCGCAGCCTACCTCCAGCCAGCCTTCTGAGCGAGCCCTGCCTGCCGGAGCACTTCCCACTGCTGCAGGCACACTTCGTGTGGGTTCAAGCCTGAAGGTTTTAGTGTAACTCGAAGCATTTTTCTATGTTAAAATAAAAATTCAAACATATTAAATTGTTTATTTTTGTGTTCTATAATTTTAAATAAAACTTTGATTACCTGCAGTGTGTCCTATCTGTGTGCCTACCGAGGTGTCGTTGCTCCAACAGTCCGGGCTGGGTGGGGCCAGGCTTCTGGATTTCTAATACTTCAGACTGTTTTTTGTTATACTTTTAACTAACAATGTCTTTCAAGGGATCTTTGAAATGGAAACACAGAGAACCACCCGAATTGCAAGCATTTTCTACCAGGATGGTAAATAACAGCAGAAGGATATAAAGCTAAGTCAGTTTACTTACCTGTGTTTGCTTTGTACCTTGACAGTTCCAAATACTAAGTGCTTTTAATTGTCATTCTGGCTGATACAGACTGCTCCAGCCTCAGGCCTATCCGTGCCGTGACAATTGATGCCATAGCGGAGACTCTGCAGGCCTCCGAGAGCCTAAAGTGTCCTCGGAAGCAGCCACACCCTGGCTGTCCTCTGCCTTGCTCGGTAGCTCTCTGCAAGTGACTTCATCCCCTGGGCCTTGGGGTCTTCGGCCATGAAACAAGATGTTGAGCGAGATGTTCTGTAAAGTCCCGCAGCCCCCAGAATCTGTGGACTTATGACCAGCAGGGTCTTGAACTTAAGAGCATTGACTGCATTCTAATTATGTGAAGAGCCCTAATCTAGGACAGTCTCCATAGCAGCCTGTTATCAACTGGAATATTTAATTAAACCAAACGAAGGAAGCCAAGAATAGCTAGTAGTGGCTAACAATGATCGAGCACTTTCTGTGTAGCAGGTGTTCGTCTTTAAGTGCTTTCCATAGAGACATGAACTCCTGTAATCTGTACAGCCTGCCGAGAGATACAGATATTATCCCCACTTTACAGGTAAGTAAAACGAGGCAGAGAAGTGAAGTGACCCATGTGAAGTCGTAGACCTGGTAAGTGGCTGAGCTGGGTCGGGAACTGAGGCAGCCTGACCCCAGAGTCTGGACACTTCATCCTGTGCTCGCCTCCTCCCTGTTGATTTATTTAGAATCTAAAAATATATTCAAAGTCCACATTTAGAAACTGAACCTTTTGTCAATAAACAAGCATATACACGTGTGTGCAAAAAAAGTTTGTTAAAATGCAGGAAATAACCGCATTTGACAGCCAATAGGCAGTGAAGGCTGTGAAATAACACATTTGCATTTAAAAGCATAGTCTAAAGGGGCAGAATTCTGAAAGCGTGTTCGTGGGATTGAGAAAGTAGCAGGACATTCAGTTGTCTAGAAACTAAGTAATTTTGAGTTTCTTAAGATGCTTTATCTGAATCAGACTTCCTGAGGAAATGATTATGTCTAAGCCAGAACAAACATACTTTTCATGGAATGTGGTTCTTTTGTGAAATACTTTGTTTCCTAAACAGATAGGGCCGAGCATGAAATGCTTGCCCAAGGCTCGATTTGCATTTTGCCCAAGTCTTTCTAAAGAGAATTCCGGAATATCGGTGTGGACACCGATATCAGTTAGAAAAATGCAAAATGACACCATCCCCCTGTGGAGAAGTTATCGTGTTTGTATCCTGTGAACTTTTGTCCTTCTGTCGTCTTCAGAAACTGTTTCCTAAATTGGTCTAGCCAATTATAGAATCTGAAGTTTTGTATAAAATTTATTTTCCTCTTTGAAGATTCACCATTTGGTTGTCCTTATCAGTCTGGCGTATTTGTTAAATTTCTATTACAAGAGTTTTCCCCAAAAAAGTGAAAGCTTTTCTTCAAATGAAATCGTGTTTATGAGAAACCCGATAATATAAGACAGCTGTAAGGGGAGCGGTTCTGGTCAAAGAGGAGGCAGGCGCTCCGTCCCCTTCTTCGCAGGGCGGCCCCTGAGTCCTGTCCGAGATTACCCAAGGCCCCCAGGGTGGCATTTGAAAACCACACCAGACGTTGCAGCGAAATCATTTTTTTTCAGATATGACTGATTTAAGACTAGGGTAATTGTGTGAACATGGCATTTTTTTTTAAATACTAGTTCCTTTAAGAAACTTCCAATTGAGTAAGTTTAAAACATTACCAGAAACTTCAAAGAATAAGATAATTTCTCTCTCACCTTATATAGAACTTCACACACAGAGCGTCCAGGTCAAAGCAGCTCCCACAGCGAGTGCTGCTGCCAGCTGAACACTCCCCGAACCGAAGTGTCACACGAGGAGAGAAATAAATTAGAGGACTGGGAGCAAGCCGGGGCACCGGGAACCGATCACTGGCTGCATACCGGGCTCAGGTCTGAGTGCCTTAAATGTGTCGCCTGAATTAATCCTGCACCTCCAGGAGGTAGTTGGCCCATTTTACAGATGAGGAAACTGAGACTCAGAGTCGTGGAGTCGTTTGCCTGAGGTCACTCGCTTGCATGTGGTAGAGCTCTTATTGCAACTGAACAGTGATGCAAGGCAGCCTCTGACCCACTAGGCTCTTTGCCCCAGGGCCGTACAGGACACAGAACGGCATACCTGCACTTCTCTCCCACGTTCCTTATTTCTGTTACTGAGACCACCGCATCCCGAGCTTGCAGACTCCAGGCCTCCATGCATTTAGCACAGCCCAGGGCTTCTCCTTCCTTAGTTCCCTCTGCAATCACCCCGCCACATCCTGGCCCTCCCTCCTGGATACATACTTTCAATGCTGCCAGCCTGCCCCTGCTCTCCGACCTCTCCTCTTCCCGCTTCCACATCAATCTACTAGAAGACTGAGCTGGTAATTCCGCATCCTACTCAAAAACCATACTTTCCTACAGAACAAAGGTCAGGCCTGGCATTCAGGATTCCACCGCAGACCAGCTCCACCTCTGTCATCCCAACACTCCACCATCTCCCAACGCTCCAGTGCACCTCCCCTCTTTATGGCAGCCTTTCTCCTTTCCGGGAGGGGATCTAACCCTCAGCACTCCCGACTAGCACAGACAGATGACCTTGGGCAAGTCACTTCACTGCTCCAGGCCTCACATTTTTCATGTAAACTAAAAGATTTGGACTTTCTCCCAAAATTTCTTTAACCTCTCTAAAATCTGTGTCATATTTTCAGTGAATAGTCCTATGGGAATATATGGCCCTTTTGAAGGAAAACAGGCTGACGTGGAAATTAGTATATATTTGAACCAGATGTGCACACTGCATCTTCAACTATTTATTCAACAAGTACTTTTTAAGGCCCACTTCATGCTGTGTTTTGTGCTAGTCTCTGGATACAGAAATCTCCCCTCTGGAGGGCTTCTTGTCTAGGTGGGGCAGACAGATATAAAAAAACAAATTCTGTAAAAGTTTATGTGAGTGCCATGTATGGGGACAGTGGCACAAAGAAAGAAAATACAGGAGAGTTATTGAGTAACCAAAAATTGTATTTTAGTAAATTAGGTAACAAGATGCAAAACCAGTTAACAAAAAGTATGTGAAACCTTCTGGTTGGGAGGAGGGGTACATCATAAGGTGGGATTAGCCAGCTGTGTTGGAAACCTGTTAGGTTTTAGGAATCCATCCTGTAGGTTGGCAAACTTAGTGAAGAGGGTAACTATGCTGAAAAGAAGGCAGTGACAACAGGAGGAAAAGGAACTCAAGCATCGCTTGTGGAAATGCAAATTAGTGCAGCCACTTGGAAAAGCCTGGCTTTTTAAAAAAAAAGTTAAACATTCATAAACTTACCACACAATCCAGCAATTCTACTCCTAGGTAGCTAGCCAAGAGAAGTAAAAACTGTGTTCACACAGAGACTTGTGTGTGAATGTTCATAAATAGCGTGATTTATAATAGCAAAAAAGTGGAAACAATTCCAGTGTCCACCTGGTGAATGGATAAACAAGAGTGGTGAGTCCATATAATGGAATATTACTTGGCAATAAAGGGAAGGATGTACTTATCAATACATGCTTTAATGTGGTTGAACATTATGCTAGAGGAAAGAAGCCCGTCCACAAAGATCATGTAGTGTGTGAATCCACTGCTATGAAGCGTCCAGAGAAGACAAATCTATAGGGACAGAAAGGAGATTATGGGTAGCCTGGAGCTGGAGGCGAGAATGTGGAGTCACTTGCACAAGGAATAGCTTTGGGAGAAAGGAAACGTCCTAACACCGGATTGTGGTAAAGGGTACACAACTCTAGGTTTACCAAAAGCCACCGAATCCAACACTTAAAAGAAATGAATTGTATGGCATATAAATGCTACGAATAAGCAAAATGAGGAAGGATTGCTTTACAGGACGGGGAGGCGGCAGCTTTCCTGGTGATCATTTGAGAAGAGAGAGCAGCTGTAAGACCTATGGGTGCCCCAAATTCAGCTGGTAATCAAATCTCGAGCGATCTTCTAAGAAGTGTTTTTGAATCTTAAAGATTAGATTGAAATAAGAAGAATTCTATTCAAGCCTCAAGAAAGCCAGGATTAAAAGAAACAATTACTAAAAAAAACCTGTTAAGGGTTAATGAGAGGATAAGATTAAATAGTGATTGGTAACAATAAGGAACTCAATTTTACCTGTTTCTTAATCTCCCAACTGTATATTCATTTTCTTTTCTTTTTTTTAAAGATTGGCACCTGAGCTAACATCTGTTGCCAGTCTTTTTTTTAAAATTCTTCTCCCCAAAGCCCCCCAGTACATAGTTGTATATTCTAGTTGTGGGTCCTTCTAGTTGTGGCACGTGGGACGCTGCCTCAGCATGGCCTGATGAGCGGTGCCAGGTCCAGGCCCAGGATCCGAACCAGTGAGACCCTGGGCCACTGAAGCAGAGCGCACCAGCTTAACCACTCGGCCACAGGGGCGGCCCCTGTATATTCATTGTGTATGCAGTGATCACTAATAGTAATCAATAGTTCTAATTAGCTACTTTTATTTTTAAAAAGCATAATGAAGTGAAAACCCTGGCCAGCTCTTTCTCTGTTCATCCTGCCATTGGGAAGGATGAAATTCAGTCCCCAACCATGATCTGGTGATCATTCAGTGGGTGGCAGAATGACCCAAACTTATAACAAGATTATAAGCATTTATGACCACAGAAGGGAACATTTAGTAGGGATTTTTTTTATGAACAAATACAGAATTGGTTT